ATTGATGAGCTGCACAGAAAGGCAGGCACCAGGCACCTCTTAGAAATTCACGGTAGGAGTTGGCTCACATGTCTGCCACAGGCCAGGAAACCTGGAGTGGGGAGTGGGAAGAAGGGAAGGTAGGATTAGCAGAGAGAGAAAAGATTTTTGTCTTTAAAATTACAATAATTTGCATACGTTTATTTACAATAACACCCTGTTCTCTTTTGGCAGTTATTTCAGGTACTTCGTAGCCTGTCTTTATTGCTCACCTTTAGGATCACAGAATCTCATCTTTAGATTTTAATGGATTCTGACAGTACAAAAGAAATGGTTCTCCCTTCTCGCTTGCACAGTTTTCCGCAGATCCACTTGAATTCATGTGGCTGTGACACCTGGCTGATTTCTCTTAGAAAAGGGGATGAGAATCCCCAGGGATTCCACTGTGTAGTAGTGGTGATGTCAGACTGCTGCTAATAAAGGGTGTATTGGCAAGCCTGGCCTCACCAGCCCTGGTGCTTTTCCTCTGTCCTGTTCTCACTTGTGCAGTTCTTGGCTACAGGAGGACAAAGGGACTGGAAACAATTGAGATTCCCTTACCCTTCTTTCTTGCAGCCAGTGGCCTTCCCCCTCTCTTCCCCATCGTCAGTGGCATTCCTTACTCCCACAAAGTGCCAGAGGAGCACATGGCAGGTGCAGCACCTGGAGGTCAGGTTTGGGATCTGAGGAAATGTACAGGTGTGGAGGAACAAGAGGATGTGGAAGTCCTTTGGAGGTGACCCCACTCATTTCTCCACTCCTCAGGCCCTTCCACAGGGTAGAAATCTCCCAGGACAAAGACCCATCCTGGTCCTCCAGCACTGTGATGCTTTTTAACTCAAGTATCGCTAAAGGTGTAAATGGGATTTCCCACCACCACTTTTTTGCTTGGACACAGGAAACCTGCACAAGCTATTCTGCAGTTGTGGGCCCAGTGATAAAGCCTTGGCAATTTTAATTTTGGTTATTTTTATTCCTTACAAAATGGACACAATTTTTAGCTCTTGGCTATATTGCACATCTCGACAGCATGTTAGTAATACTACAGAAGTTGTGGGAGTGGAGTTTTGCATCAAGCAAAATGGTGTTGACCAGCATATTTTTTTTTTTTTTTCAAGAAAATGTTTTTGATGTAAGAGGAAAAGCAATAAACAGAAATAATCTCCCTCAGTGATATTTTAAATTATGATTTTCCTGCAAAATATGTTATGGGACTGTGTATTACTCATGTCCTGAGGCAGAACAAGGTGGCACAGTGGGACTGTCTTTGCTGTTGTGTTCCTGTTGTAAGTTACCCACAAGGTGCAGCCTTCAAGGTGCCCAGGATAAACACAACCACCTGCCTGCACAGCCACACCTCAGAGCCATTGCTTCATCCCTGATGTTTCCTCTTCGTGTGTTCCAGGTAGTTTATTTAAAACTCGGTGCACCAGCTGTGGAAACGTAGCTGCGAATTACAAGAGCCCGATCTGCCCCGCGTTGGCTGGGAAGGGGTAATCCATTCTTTCTTTCACCATTAAAAAAGAAAGTGAGCAGGGGGATGGGCCAGGCATATACTCAAGATTTTTTAGGACTTTTTTTCCCTTTACATTCCACCAGACCTTTAAATAGTTACGTAAATAATTGTCGTGCCTTTGACAGTCTTGGCCAGCTTATTACAGTTGCTCAGCTTCAGGATAATTCTGGACAAATTCCTGCCTGCCTCATGTGTGGTATTTTAGGATTGTAGGAGGTGTTCAAGTTGGCTGAAGTTGCAGATTCTTTGATTGGAGGGTGTGCTTTAGAGAATATGAAGGTTTTTAGAGAATGTTAAGTTTTTATTAATATATAAAATACCTTTTGTGCAGCTGGACATGTATTTCCATTTTGTAACTACAGGGCTCCAGATCCTGACACAGAAGATGCTGCCATTCCAGTTGAAGACCTTCCTCAGTACGTATGGACAACGTACTTCCTCAGTACGTTGGGCTGTTACCTCTTCATGCTTTGTGCATCTCAGAGCTTCATGTTACTGTTCATGTTGTTTTGGAAGGACATTCCCCAGAAGACAAAGAACTCTGGAACTGTGCCCCAGGAAACTGAGTCTAAAGTTACAGGGGCATCAGACAAAGGAGTGTGTAGAAGTTACCGTGGTGCTAAAGGCATCGCACTTTGTGTACTTGAGCACCAAGATGAAATGTGGCCAAATTCCTGGGGTTTGTAGTAAGTGAAGTAGTAGGAGAATTGCAGCAAGAAAGTGAATGCTACAGCAGTAAATGTTTTGTTACTTTGCAGGTGTCACCCACTGTTTTTCTGGAATTCTGTGCTGGGGTCCCCTCACAGGCACAGAATGTGCCATGATGCTTTTTTATGCAGCCTGAAGCTTTGCCTTAGCTAGTTGCAGATGGAAAAAGCCACCACATTTTTAATCTGATTCCTAAGGAAAAAGAGGCTAACAAAATGCTTCTGTCTTTTGGGTCATTTTCTCCTTAAAACCCTGTAAGCTAGTTTGTTAAAGGAGGCTAAGTTTTAACTTTCATGCACTTCAGGAGCTGAGTAAGGGAAGGACACAATTAAGTATCTGCGCTGAACAACTGTTCAGCACCCCCTTCCTTGGGATCATGCAGCACATGTGTACTTCCAGCACATGTGTAGCATGGAATGAGCTGCCTTCTGTCCAGCACATGGTAGAGGAGGGTGTGGGGAGGGCTGTGAAGGAGGAGCGAGGATGATGGCAGGTAAGACCTGCCCAGGCGAGAATGAGATCTGCTTTGCCGCCGTGCAGCCTGATGCACCCCGTCAGCAGCGTGACGCTGTCCCTTTGTGGTGTTTGGGCAGGTGTGAGGAGGACGGCTGCAAGGGGCTCCTGCGGCCACATGTCGTGTGGTTCGGCGAAGCCCTGGATCCCGGCGTGCTCACAGCAGTGGAGAAGGAGCTGGATATCTGTGACCTCTGCTTGGTCGTGAGTGGCGCTTTCCTTACTGGTGCTCTGAACCCACAGGGAGGCCATGCTAGGGACGTGGCAACTCCTGGGTAAAGCAGATGCATCTGTGCTTCCCTGAGGGAACTAAAAGCCCCAGAAGGACTCTCTGGTGTCCAGTGCAAAACATTAAAAGACCATTCTGTTTGAAAATGCACACAGACTACTCAGAAGTCAACAAGTACACAGGGGTTAGAGATTAGACAATGCTGTTTGGCTGTTGAATTTCACTCCCCCTCTACTCTGCTCTGGAATACTGTGGACAGTTCTGGTGCCCTCAGCATAAGGACATGGAACTGTTGGAGCAAGTCCAGAGAGCCACAAAGTTGATAAGGGTACTGGAACACCTTCCCTATGAAGAGAGGCTGAGAAAGTGGGACTGTTCAGCCTGGAGAAGGGAAGGTTCTTGGGAGACCTTAGAGCAGCAGTACTGAAAGAGGCCTGCAAGGACGCCAGAGAGGGACTCTTCATCAGGAGCAAGGGGTGATGGCTTTTAAGTGAAAGACAGTGGCTTTAGATGATACATAGGAAGAAATTATTTACTGTGAGGGTGGTGAGGCAGTGGAACAAGTTGCCCAGAGTGGGTGCCCCATCCCTGGAAGCATTCAAGGCCAGGCTGGATGGGGCTCTGAGCAACCTGGGCTAGTGAAAGGAGTCCCTGCCCATGACAGGGGGGTTGGAGCTAGATGATGTTTAAGGTGTCTTCCAACACAAACCATTCTGTCATTCTAATTTCTCAAACAGTAAAAAATACAATTATTTTGATGCTCAGTTTGAAAAGGAAGTAAGTTATAATGTGCTGCTTTTTTGCAAGGTGTTTTACATGCCATGTAGGTTCCAGATCCCTAACCAAAGCAGTTGCTTAGACTGTTGTCTTCCATTTACAGACTGATCTTAAGTAACAGAAGGAACGTTCTGTTGGGTTTTTATTTTTCGTTGAAGACAAAGTGTGCCATTTTGTTTCTGGGATTTTTTTTTCCATCTACAGTTACAAATGGGTTTCTTTGGGTTGCATCAGAGAAACAATTCCTGATTGCTATGCTAAGTTAAATAGTTACATCTGCAGTGACACTAATCAGATACTGATTCAGTTTCATTTCTGTAGGGATCTCCTAGGCTTCAGTGCACATGCAGTTGTGAGAAGGGCCCTCACCTCGGGGCTGGGTTGGTTTGGTCTGTGTGAGTGCTGTCCTACTATTCTTGTGACTTGTGTCCCATTGCCCGCAGGTCGGGACCTCGTCCGTGGTGTATCCTGCAGCCATGTTCGCCCCGCAGGTCTCGGCCAGAGGAGTCCCGGTCGCGGAGTTCAACATGGAAACCACTCCTGCCACCAACAGGTTCAGGTACGGCTGCTCCGGCAACAGCCTTCAGTCCCCTCCTTCCTGCCCTGCTTTGGTCCAGCTGCCAGAACGCAGTTCTAGTTTTCCCCCAGCGCTTATGAAATATTAAGTTTCTGTTTATAAGAAAAGAGGATTCTTCTTCCATGGTGGAATTTTCACTGAAGACACAAACCGTATTATTTAAAGGGTGAGGCTGTAGTATGTCCCTACGCCCCACAAGGCCTAAACCCTTCTCTTCTGTTTCCTCCCTCCCTCCCGTTCCCAGACTCGCCAGGTAAAGCAGCGGGATGTGCCGGTGGCTGCCCGCGCCCTAAGCCTGCCACTTCCTTTCAGGTTCCACTTCCCGGGCCCCTGCGGGACCACGCTGCCGCCGGCGCTGGCGCGACACGAGACGGAGATCATCTCCTGAATCCTGGGATCACCTCCGGAGCCCTGGAATCACCGCCGGAGTGCCGGGAGCGGCCCGGACCGGCGGGGCCCAGCGTGGGGCGGGCGGGCCGGAGGCGGCGGCGGGACTCGTCCCCACGGCAATAAAGGCGGGGCCACCTCCGATGTCCTGTGTCTGTGCGCGCACCGCGCGGGGCGGGGCGGGGCGGGAGGCGCAGGGCGGCTGTCCCGGCGCTCGGCATTCCCCGGCGGAAGGCGGGAGCGGTTCCGGGGCGGGCGGCGCAGGGGTCGCGGCCATGGCGCGCCGGCAGAAGTCGAAGGCGGCGGCCGCGGGCAAGCGCAGGGCTCCCGCCGCGCTCCCCAGCCCGGCATCCTCCTCGGAGGACGAGGCGGACGAGGCCCCGGAGGAGGTGCCCTTCGGCGTGGCGAGGGAGGCGGCCGAGGCCGAGCGGAAGCTCGTGGGAGAGGCGGCCCGGAGGTGCGGACACGGCGGGGCCTCCTGCTCCCGAACGGCGGCTCTCACACCAGCGCTTCCCTCCTCTTACCCCGTTCGCTTAGCCCCGCTCATCTCCCCTTTCACCTCTCTTACCGCCCCCTTCACCCCTCGCTTACCTCTCTAAACCCCCCTCCACCCCTCTTAGATCCCTTTACCCCCCGTTCACGCCTCGTGCTCTCTCTTTTCCTCCCCTTATTCCCTCCCTTATCTCTGCTTATATTCCCTTGTTGTCTCCTTCCCCCTCCCCCCCCGCCCTTATCTCCCTTCTTACCCCACCATCCCTCTTATGCCTCCCCGGCCCCTTCTCCTTCCTTATCCCGCCTCTAACCCCTTCCCCCCCTTCACCCCTCTATGCCCCTTTCACTTTTCCTATCCACTCTCCCTTATCCCCCCACTTGCCCCTCCTCACCACCTCCTTTGCCCTTCCAAGCCCCTCCAAGCCCTCGTTCACCCCTTTTATCCCCGCCCGTAATACCCCCTCTCTCCCCATGGAATGCTGACAATGGCTCCCGCCTCCCCGCAGGCACCGGGAGCTTCTGAAGGAGAAGCGGCGGCGGCACCAGGAGCTGTTCGCGGAGCAGAAGGTACCGCGCTACCTGCGGCGGGCCCCGGGTGTGTGTGCCGGCCCCGGGTGTGTGTGCCGGCCGTGTCCGTGCCCGCCTGACTCCCCTCTCCCCCACAGAAGCGCAGGCTGCTGCCCGAGGCCGTGCTGCAAGAGCTGCAGGAACTGCAGGAGCTGCAGGCTGTGTCCGCACGGTGAGGGGACCAGGGGAGGCAGCGGTGGGTGTTGGGATCCCCCTCTCTGTATCTCCCACCCGTGGGGCAGCCCCTTCTGGTCCTTGCTTGGGAGACTGTACTGGAAATGGGGGTTTCATGGCTTTGAGTAAAGGAAGGCAGTGTGAATTGAAGAGTAACCTGTTGCCTTCCCTTTGACCCCCAGGCCCGCTGAGCAGGCTGCAGCAGATGACCCAGGTATGTTACCGCTTGCTTTGCTAACGGGGTGTACATCTGGTTCTCCAGGAGTTTATTCCTGTGCCTGAGCTCCAAGGGGGAGCTCTGGTGGAGAGACCTTCTCCAAGTCCTAGTCATGAACACATTTGGCAGATTGTCTTTTCCCCAGGAAAATAAGTATCTGAGGAAAAATACAAAGTCAGATTTAATCTAATTCTCACACCTTTTACAGAAGTCTCTTGCTGTGCAGTGATTTCAGTTAAATAGCCTGAAGTGTTTAAGGAAGTCATGGGCAGGTGTTACAGAAGAAAAAGCAAGCATTACCAAAGGTGGATTAATTTTTAGCCTTTGTTTAAGTTATAAAGGCTATTCCTGGGTAGAGTTGTTAAATTGCCTCTATACTTTACATATCAACCTAATAATAGCATCTGTAGGATATTAAGTAACTTTTTTTAGACTCAGAATTACAAAACCAAGACTCTAGAGTGTTTATGACTGCTGTTTTTGCTTCATCTGTACTTCAAAGTATTTCAGAAAAAATATTTTATTTAAACAGTTCTCTCATCCAAACCTCACATGCTGCTGTATGGTGTAACTGTTACTTTTTCTTGCTTTTATTTAAAAAAGATCTGTTGTATTGACAAAACAAAGAGATGAGCTGAGAATGAAGCAAGACTTCAGCCAGAGCTGGATTTCCCTTCATGAGTTACCCACAGCTGTTGTGTTGCATTGAATTTTTGTCCAGTGATGAATCCCATTTTGTTGATGCCGAGAAAGCTGGCTATCAGTACTTTGGGTTGCTCCCCTAAGCATACTTCTTTCCATCCCTCTTACAGCTGTTCTTCCTAGTCATTTTTTCTGAAAAATGCTGCTTGTTTTAAATCCTGTTCATGTTTCACTGACTGGTTTTGATTTGTAACATTTGGGAAATTTCGTTTACAAGTTACTCTAGATGAAGAACTTGAATCTGAGGCTGTAGAGCTGGAGCAAGGCCAGGCCCAAAGGCAAGGCCAAGCAGAAGTGCAGGAGAAGAAAGGCAAGAGGAGCAAGGGTGCCAGGTAGGAGGAGATGATTTTGCCTGGTGTGGGAAGTTCTGCTCTGTCACTGCGTGGCTGCACCCTCTTCTGCACTTTATGTTCCCCCATCCTTCATCTGATTGAAAGCATATTTATGTGCTAAAAGCACCTTTAATATCTTCTGATTTAGCATACTTATATATGTGTGCATACATATAAATATATATATGATAGAAATAATTTTTACATGTTACTTAATATGTAACTGCTATGAGATAGCTGTACAGTCATAAGCGCAGCAGTACACATTGTGTTGGGTGGTTGAGCACCAAATTCCTGCATTTCAATCTCTTTTTCTCTCTCCTCTTTATTTCATTGTCACTGATGACCCTAGAGAGTAATTGCCCTAGCTTCTGGTAGGATCAGCTCAGGACACCCAAGGAAACTACTCAGGGCACACAAAGGCATATGACAACAGCTTGAGAGTATTGGTCCAGCTTTTTATTTTTTTAATACTGCCACAAAGCTCATCTGAGTATCAGAAACCATCAGTGGCTGCTGCTGTGCTCAAGTAGCAAAGCCTGACAGCAGTGTCTGTTGTTTTGGATCGTGTAACCACGCTACAGGGATTTACATCTCTCTTTGACTAGGACAAAAGGGAACTACGTGGCTGTGTGCTTGAAAGACCACAGTGCAACAGGCCTCCACCAACAGCTGGCCAAAGACTTCCTAAATGCTCAGCTCTATGGGCCGCACACCAACCGGGTACAGGGTAAGCGCTGCTGCTCACCTGGCTCTGGGTGGGGCCTTGTCTGGCTTCAACTTGGTTATTAACACTTGTCTCCATTTCAGCAAATGAATTTTTTTCCCTTGCAAACAAGAGAGCCCCCGTCAAAAAAGCTGCCGTTCAATTTGTGGACAAGTCTTGGGGTGAGTAGAGAAAGTCAGAGTAGGTACTATTTTCTGCATATCTGGCTAAAAGTACACTTGGATGAAATCAGGGTTTCCATGCTAGAGTATCCTGGCTTGTGATCCTCTAACTCCAAGCACCTGGAGAGTAAGGGAAGGGCAGCAGAGCACTGCAGCCTCAGTGGGTGTCATGAGCACAACTCCCAGGGATTGTGTATGAGACACAAGTTGAAAAAAATTACCTCATTTTTGGTATGTTAAGAGACAGCTCTTGTATTAGAGCCAGGGCTGCTCAGTGAAATAAATACTTCAGTAGCTGTTGTTTCAGCCTCCAGTCTCTGTGCCGTTGGAAGGCATTTCAGATGCGTCTCAGACTTAAAAGCAGGGATACCAAGATCCCAGAACCTCTATGTGAGCACAGGGAAATAGCACCCATTTCTCCTCATTTCCATAATGGATGGGGACAGTTTCACACCCACACGTTCTGTGAGGCTCACGAACACCAGAGGGAAAAGTCACTGATCCTTAGCAAGCAGGCTCTGCTTTCATCTGTGCTCCATCACTGAAAGCACCACTGTATCCTCCCCACCCTCCTAAGGAGGCTGTGCAAACTGGTACTCCTGGCCAGTGGAAAGGACCTGGGCACATAAAATACCTTAGGAAGTTTATCAGTGTTTGAGGTGATTGTTCTGTTCTGAAATGCTGCAGCAGCCAAGGGATTGCTGCTTCTTCAGCACATGGGGGCTAAGAAAAATGGTAACTAACAGCTGTTGGTTTTTTTTTAAGGGCAAGATAAAAAGGAAAAAGCAGCAAGGTTTAAGAAGCGCTGGCTGGCAACACAGATTAAAGATGGAGTCTGAAGACAGCTTTTTCAGAAGATGCTGCTAAGGACTTTTAGTGACAGTTGATCTCAACACAGCACAGGTGTTTTTCCCCACTTCATCATGACTTTACTTTCAGTTCCAGCCAGCAGAAGGCACTGAGCTGTGCCTGATTGGACTTCCCTGTTCTCTCCTCTCCCCTTTCAGAAGTTCTTGGGGAAGGTACAGAGCAGCCAGGCCAGTCTTGTGGAACAGCTGGTGCTAGGACCAGGCTTGCTGAGCTGCCTCTGTGAGGCAGTGACTTTGCAGAGAATAAACGTGAGCAATGTTATAGCTACTGTTGTGGATGCTGCAGTCCTTACGGCAGGCAGTTATTCCTGCTGCTCCAGTCACTTGTGTCTCTAAGGAAAGGCTGTACCCTAACAGCAGAATCATTAAATCAGCTCCCACAGCAGGACACTTCTCTCCAGCCTCATCATTACTTTCCAGCAGTACGGGGTTTTTCCCATCTGCAGGGAGTCCTGAGTAAGCTTCCTGCACTGTTAGCTAGACTCACTGTGTGGCAAGAACATGGCAAAGCCTTTGACCTGGACCAGCCCAGCTTCCACAGGGAGTGGAAGCCCTGGTTCAAGGGGTAAGCCACTCCCCTCACTAGGTCTCCACAAGAACTGCTGTTCTAGGATGGAGCTCTAGAACAAGACAACGTAGCATACACATCCATGCTACCGTGGATGTAGATGTAAGTTTTTAATGGCTGGTTAATTATGATATCACTACATTTTATTGCAATATAGTACTATTTAAGCACTTTTAAAAATGCAAGGTGTACAAAGATTAAATTAAGACTGTAAATTGACTAAATATTTGGTTTTTATATAAATAGGTCATAACCACACTGTGTTGACATGTAATACTGTTATAATACAACAGTTAAACTGGTGAGCCTACACAACAGAAGCTGTCTGTAGTTAAACAAGGAAACAAAGTTGAAAAGACCATGTTAAAACAAAAAACTACTAAGATCAACAGGTTGGGATTGTAAGTAGCAACAAACATATTCACTCAGCTCCTGAGTAATTCAAGTTTTACAGTACACATTAAAAAATATCATTTCTTCCCATCAACACTATATATCCAAACCATTTGCATTTTGCAAATTACACTGATTGAACTATGTAACAATGGGGGTGGAGGTTGGCAAGTCATCCTGCTTGACGTTTACATCACCCACATGCTAATACATCCATGTTTTCTATTCTTCCGTCCCACCACAAGGTAGCAGGATTTTTGGTTTGTTTTGGACAATCGTTCAAAGGATTGGTACTTGTCAATTTGGATGTCTGACGTTACCAGTGATATTTTCAACTCTTAGTTGTCTAAGAGGTTTAAAGATGGAAATCTCCTAACACTAAGTTAGAAATCATTTGCATCATGCTGTAAACTAGGAAGCAACATAAAGCGACAGACTTGTCCTTAGTACATAATTAAAATTCCAAATTTTAAAATTCCAGTCAGCAGAGCTGATCTACTTTCCATGTTGAATATGCCAAAATGCCTTTCAGACCTTCAAAATGCATAGCTAGTGTAGGTAGTCTTCCACTGTGGCAAATGCACAGGATCCAATTCCTGACCGGGCCATCAATCCTAGACACTGTGATGCCTGTCCCATGGCGAGGGCAAGCGGGGGTTGCTTTGGCAGATTGTGAGTCTCTGAAAAAGAATCACATTGGCAGTTAAAATACCTGAATTGTTTCATAGTACACTGAAAACTTGACATTTAAACTACTTAAATCATTCATTTGCGAGTTTGCTCTTAGAGCAAGACACAAAGCCAGAGCAACAAAGTGACCTTGCGCAGCACCACTACTGAACAGGCCATTTCTGCTCTGAACTACAACAGCAGACAAGTACCTCACACACCCTCCAAAATTATCCCTCTTCCCAGAAGAGTGTACCCAACACTGCTATCCTTACGGTGGAGCAGCAGGGCCACCTGTGTGGGACAGGGGGAAGCACCCTGAGTCTCCTGGGCAGCCAGCAGGCCACACTTACCTAGTATTGCACTATTCAGCACGGAGCACACCGGTTCTCTTTGTATGGGGTCTAGCTGATTTCCAACAGGGCTGCTCCAGGGATCGGAATATGCAAGCAAACTGAATGCATCCTGTGGGAAGATGACTTCTATTACATTTACAGCTACAAGCTAGTGGTGAAAAGAAGGGATATTTTGTACAACTACTTTGATTCAGAATCACAAAGGTGATTGTCAGTGTCCATCAATACAAAAAAATAAAAAGAAACTGTAACAGGACTTGTTCCAATTTCATGTTTTTTCCCAAGAGCAAGGCAAAAGGTAGCATTATTTTACTATGTGATGGGGTAAGAGAGAACAGACTGAAAACTGCGCATGCAGTCTTTGGCAGGAGAATGCTTTTCCAGAACAGTCTCAAATCAAGGCAAACTAATTAACATGCACAGACTAATGACAGCACATTTTAGGCAGCTCTACCAATCCCCTTGTGGTTCATTTATCATTGACAAAAGATCAAAAAGACAAAACCAGTAACTTCAATTAAAAAGGCCAAGTTACATGGTCACAAATGAGAGAAAGGAAAGTGCTAAATCAATTTCTGTGTTTAACTGTGTAACAGCACAAGTTTGTCTTCCCTGAGCATGTGCCACACAGACAAAAAAAGAAGACAGTGCTACACCACAGCTGACCAGAACACCTGCTCTGAGACACGTGAAAAATGGCAGAAGTTAAAGCAGAACAGTGTTCCAACACAACATTCTGTGGGAAGTTCCTGCTGGGCAGCACAGTTATTCACCTCTACAAGAAGATTAAACATACCTTGAGCATTTTCTTATTCACTGTGTTTTTGCCACATTCTCTTCTTAGCTGCTCGCTCATTGCTTGCAATTCTCTTCCAAAATGGATCATCCTTTCAATGGCTGCTTGGCTGCCACCACATAGCTGGCGTCTTAACTGGCTTGAATCTACTTCTAAAGAAATGATATCGTCATCATCAGCACTGGCAGAGCCGAGGGTAACAACCTATGGATCTACAGACTCTGCACTGATTTCACTCAAACACAGCTGCCTGCCCAGAGAGCGGGTCAGCCACAGACCCTGGCCCCACGTGCTCCTGTACCACGCACTGGGGAACTGCTCCTTAGGAACATTTAAGAGACCTGGTTCACTAATGGCAAAGGCTGTCACAGCATGTGCTGTTTATTTGCAAGGGGTAATTTTAAACTAACTAGAAGACAAACCCAGATTTTACCTTAAAATTTTAAGAGAGTTTAAAAAACAACAATGAAAGTCCACACAGTTCTAACTTTCTTAATTCTTTGGCATTGCATTTCTGAAAATACACCGAATTGGGAACTAATAGAGTGTAAAAAAATGCCAAACTTCCTCAACAGCCATGATGGACTGCTACAAGACAATCATTTAGATTGTTCATACTTCTTTTGTAATCAAGCAGGACACTACAACTGATTGCTTTACTGTTTCCTACAGTATTCCCAATACTAGTGATGTTAAAAGATATTGATGCAGCTTATGAATAGTAAACCAACACTTGGCTTCTCTGAAAAATCTGCTTTTTAAAAATTTACACCTAAAGCACTGCATTAAGAAAAAGGCATTTATCCACCCTTTCTTGTCTTTTTTGATCAATGGAATCAAGTTTTAAAATGAGCATTTTGATAGAGTCTTCAATTACAAATCCACTCTTCTTTCTGACTTTAACACTGCTATTTAGTGATATATTTTTGACTACTCTTTCAAAACAGGATTTTTAACTGGCCACTTTATTTTTTTTTCCCTTAGGTGTAAGTGTATCACCTCTGGAAAATACCTGCCTAATTAACCTTACATACACAACACTAAGAAGAACATATAAATATTTCAAAAAGTGAAAAACCACCAGACTCAACCTGGGTGGGGAGGGTTGGGGGTAAACAGTGTAGGTGAAGCACCCACAAGTCTTCAAGTAGTGGTGCTTGTTTCTAGCTCAGCCTAACCTAAGACATGACTTTCCAAAGGCAGGAGGCAACTACATTACAAAAAGCACAACTCCGTGCCCTGTGCAGCTGCTGCATGTCTGTCACAGCAAGTCTCTGCAGAAAAGGCTGCCAGATAGTGAGGACCTGTTCTGGGTTTTCTGTCACAGAAATAAGGTCTTGTTAGTATCCAGTTTCAGAGCATAATGCAGGGAAAATGGTCTGGCAACTTGCATTCCTCCTTGCAGGGCTGTAACAGAATGACATTTGCTGTTCCACTGCACTTCCCAGCAAAGCTGCAGGATCAGCAGCAGCAGCAGCAGATGCCCCGGAACTGGGAAGCACTCACAGGCCTCTGCACGCGCTGCTGCATTCTGAAGGTCTCCAGTTTCACATTTCATTTAAACTACACATTAACTGACATCTGCTTAAATCAATTGTTTGAGTACCAATTCTGCAGCTGCACAAAGGGCAAGCAGAGGGGATTTAAATACTCATTTGTCACCAACATCAACAGGCATGACAGAGTATAAAGCAAATTAAGTAAAACAAAGTTAATTTTGAGCTCATAACTATATAAATTGGTATTTTTTTGGTGGAAAGCATGGGAAAAAAGTTAATTTTTCATTTTTTTACATTTCCCTAATAAAGCTCTTAAGCATTAAATATTAGCACTTTGCATTTCAATATAAAAGATTTAGAATTTCTACGTTTACTGTGGAGCACAAAGATGCCATGAGAACCATGAATGGGAAGAGGGAGAAGCAATTTCCCAACTCAAACACAGGGTGCTACACAACTGGGTGTTTCTTCTCAAAGGTACTTCCTTAAAAATTAATGCTAATTTCAATAGGCATGAGTTACCCATTTCCCCTGTTTTCACACTGATACTGGACCACCTAAATCAGTGGTTTTAAAATTTACATCTAGTAATAGCAAAACAAACAAAAAATTAAGATTTGAGCTAGTAACCCTAATTTTCAAGTTGGGAAGCATTGCAAGTAAAAACATAACCTTGTTGCCATCACTTAATAAAAATGTAAGAAATATCACTGCAGACCCATTTCTGTGTCACATTCTTCCATTTCGTGATCATGTTTAGAACTACCATTTAGGAAGCCATTGGATGAAGTCTCAGCAATCCCATTGGAATAGTGATCTGTTTCCATGTCTACATCATTGCTGAAAAGAGAGTAGTAAATACAAGTTTTACTCATATTTAAGTACTTAGGTTATCTTTACAACTTCATCACACTACTTCCTCATCTTAGCTACTGAAAAGCTGCTGTTAAATATTACCAAGCTAGACCACAGTTTCTTTGATA